CGTGTCAGCCGAGGTGCCACGTGCCCTGGTAGTTAAGCCGAGGTGATCTTGGAGAAGCCGAGGTCATCTCCGAAGATATCGGAATCCGAGATAAAGGACAAGAGTCCTAAGACGGAGAGGGGACTTGACCTTGGATAAGGATAGAAATCTTAGGGAGTTTATCTTTATCTCTTTAAGAATTCAAAGTAAACATTGAGATGAAGTTCATAGAAGTCATACTTCTATTGGGACTTGGATTGAGTATATTATAAAAGAGAGGCACCCCCATGGGTCTAAGGTATGCAATTTATGTTTTGAGTATTCAGTTTAGCACTTGATTATCTTTGAGAGATATACTGACTTGATCGTCGGAGTGCCCCCGGGTGGAAGAACCACCGCCGGAGCTTTTTCTTTCTGTTACAGGTTGCTAAAGCCATCTATTCTGCCTGTGCTCTCCAGCTGATCACTAAACGGGCAGTGTGGTCAGATTTTCACCCACACAATTATATTTCATTCTTAAAAAATTATTGTCACCCATTATAGGGAGAGAAACAAACATCATAAAGAATATTAAACTCATTTCTATACAAATTAAGCTTACAATCTCACATCACAAAATGATATTACACAACCAATAAACTAAAAGTATTAATTCTCATATTCCTCTTTTACTGATGGTAATATATATGGGTAAATTATACAAAGTTTAAAGAAAATGGATAATTACCAACTACTTCCATTCAGTAGACTTAAATACAATTAAAGCCTTGTTTGGGAACAAGTTATTTTAGTATTTTTTTGACTTTTTACGAAAAGATGTACAGAAAAGTAGAGAGAGTGATGTGACAACTTATAGTGACTTTTTGGCTAAAATAGTTACTCCCCAAACAAGGCCTAAGTCTTATTGACATTTTGAATGCATCAATAGGTCTTACAAATTCTTTTATCTTCTATTCTCTTTTCTTCTTTTTCTTCTCTCTCTCTCTACCATTTTTTCAAAAGATTCACACCATCATTGTTTACCACTACCGCCGCCACCGTCCTCCACTTGCCACCACTACCACCGTTGTCACCATCTAGCCACCACTACTACCGTCATCGTTGTCCATCTACCACTACCACTACCACCGTTGTTATTCGAATGCACCATATCACCATTAACTATCTCGACCATCGCTGATCTATACACCATATCACCACAGTCGCTGATCTACAACCTGTTGTACAAATTGTGTGATAACATAAAACAAATAGATTCATATTGAAAAACTAATTGGAATTTCAGAACAAGAACATGGTAGAATTTACAGAAATTCATAGTAAAATAAAACTAGCAAAAGGAAGCAAACCGAAACCTATACTACACAGTGTCCTCAAAGCAGATTTGTCATTTCACTGATTGGGTGCTGGAGGTTGTTCGACATCTATCTCCCAGGATACGATGGTTGGACCAGCTACGCAATGCACCGATTGAATAGTTTCGGTGAGTAGAACTATGACAGCACTCTCTCAGTAGGAAGAATATAAAATTGGAGAAACTTTTGAAGACAAGAACAAATATTCTTCTATCATGAAAAGGAATGAGAGGGCCTCTTTTTATACATATGGAGAGAGAGAGAGAGAGAGAGAGAGAGAGGAAAAGTCACCTACCATCAAGGCCTATCACAAATGCAGAAAATAAATTATGTATTAAACTTGCAAAAACTGCTGGAATAATTCATCACCATTATAGAAGAGTTACATACATTTTATACACATGTGTAATGTATATAATTCTGCTGCCAATAAATTTGGCTTGGCCCAAAAAGATTAAGATGGGTGGACCAAGTCCTACCCTCGCACTTAATCCTCGCCTCAAGCCTCAAGTCCCAAGATCCACAATCCACGAGCCACGACCCACGAATCTGGCCCAATCATGTGTATAATTCTATTGCCCATAAATCTAGGTTCGCCCAAATAGAAAAACAAAGGTGGGCCAAGCCCAACCCCCACACTCAATCCATTCCAGCAAGCCCAAGCCCAAGTCCCAAGGTCCAAGATCCATGATCCACGACCCACAGACCACGGACTCGTACCGGTTCAGTCCGAGCGGCGCGCGTGTGTATGGCAATTTTTCCATAACCAACTTGGACCATAGTCTTGGCCCAAGTCCATCATTGAAGTATCCATAACTCCCTTCCTTCAAAAATTTTAGATGCCCCAAAGGGCTCACAATCTAAGGCAAAAAATGGGATTTAAATACTCATCAATGCTTTTCTCAGTAATCAATGTGGGATACAAGATTTTACATCTTTCTCATCACCTCTTTCATGAGGCCAACTTAATGAGTCAATTTCTCATTCAAACCTTAACGGCTTTTGATCATTCTTTTTGTGATGTAAAGATCTCAGTACAAAGAATCTAAACACATTTTAATCCACCTCAATTGAGGATTGACACCCACTTTAATATTGCATTAAAGTTACCAAAAAACCATTCTTTTTTCCAACAATCCCCCACATGAATAAAAATTAATCGAATAATAACAAACGGACAACGCTTAACAACAAAGACTCAGAGAGAGTGCAACAGAATAGCCCCAACATCGGAAAAGGTAGCTTTTGACTTTAAACCCCTCCTAGTGAAGTCTATCGAATTTACTGGCTGTCTAGTGAATACAAAGTCTTGAACTATTCTGCCATTTAAGTAAACCAAGACAACAGACCTCACACAAAAATTACTTCAACCATCGTTCTGTTCTTATTGTTGTGTCCGGTTTGGCCCTGGAACACTAGCCTAGTTCTGTAAGTGGTTTAAAGAATTAGGCCCTGTCAATTCTTATAGAAGCGACCCCACTTCACACTCACATAGGTGACTCTACTTGAGTATCCTGCTATACTCA